AAAATCTGCAGCTGGAGCCAGATCCGAATCTGAGTGGAACCCGCGCACGGATCCATTTTATGACCAAATCGGACCAAATGGTTTTGCATTTATCGAAAGGCTGTGATAGAGCGACGCTGCGGTTATAGATTTACAAGCTGCGCCTCCAGGCCCCCTCCCATGTTTTAAATCTTATGGCATTTTTTTTAAAGCAGCGTTTTCTCCCGTCGGGTGGCAGCCGGCAGATGGACACGAGTTAGAAACGACACCTCGTAAATGGTATGACAGGATTTGGCAGTGTCTGACCTGCTGATGACATATTTGGTAAAAATCAGACAAGAAGTCATTCTGTGAGCAAAGCCCGTCTGTAGTCTATGTAGGCCAAAACCTTCATGGGGATCCCGCTGAATACACTGGAGAAATACACTCATAATTAACATCTAGCCTAAAGCTGCAGAGCAATAAAAAAAATACTCCAGTATTTAACCTTTTACTACATTTGACTCCTGTTGGAATTGCAAATCCTTTAATTCTGCTCTCACAGATGGGATATTCCTAATTTTGATTAAGGATATTGAAACCAGTCGCTGCAGAGCCAAAAAAAAAAAAAAAAGGGATTGAGAGTATGGATAGTATGTATTGTATATCTGTATTGTATATCTGGCAGCAGAAACTGTGAAAAATAAATGAGTGAAATATTCCTTTACACTTTTACCACAGAAAATATTATTTCTTTACATGGTGACCTCTGACCATCTCCTACTGTGCAGCTACAGTTTTACCCAGTTCACATAGAGGTTGTAGTGTTGGCTTTGCTTGTTCTGTTAGAATGGCACCTGAAGTTGAATACATCAAAGACTGTATATATGTAGAAAAAACTTTCTACATCAAAACACATCAAAACCCTAACTCTGTGCCCTCCCCCTCTCTCTCCGCAGCCCATGGGATCAGAGCGGATGGAGATGCGAAAGAGGCAGATGTCGGTGCAGCAGGAGACGGTAGCAGGGGGAACTGCACCGGCCCAGCAGGGCCAGGCGGGCCAGGCCAACCCACGGGCTTCAAACGCATGCTGCTTCTGTTGGTGTTGCTGCTGTAGCTGTTCTTGGTAGGTATTCCTCACCTGATGAGTCCTGCGTCGTGACAGCAGGCTCCAGCCTTTTAGGTTGCTATGGTACTGTACGCAAATAAACAAGGTCTAATATACTGTATTTACTGCACAAACCCAATTTCCAAGCTGGTCCAGCTTCATAAATAGTTTGGTAATTCACTTAAATATTTATTCAAGAAGGCAAAGGGGGTCTTTGGATTTAGAGTCTTCAGCAGGAAAACAAATGTCAATCAATTTATTTAACTTTTCGGCCAATCAGCCACTTTATTTTTCTAGAAAAATTAGGGAGTAGGGATGATATCCATACCATACATCTGCGTCTTGTTGGAACACTTTCAAGTTCTCTAGGTCCAAAATAGAAATGTACTCTGTCCTTTGTCCTAGTTTGTTGCTGGGGAGACAGATATTGACTCGGACCAGCCAAAATTAAACACTTACTGTCAGCAAAAGGTGCAAAAACCAGCAATTTTGGCAGCAGATGGAGCTCTGTATGTACTGTATCTGAGAGTACTATCAGAATTATGGAATTTAAATTTAGCGCATAAACGTGTTCCTGAAAAGAGGACGACTTTGTGTCTTTATTGACATAGAGGTCATGTGCTGAAGTCCAGATATGTCACATGTTCAGAAAAAAAACGGATTGGATTGACTGGACGTGTGTTATATTTGAAAGGAATGTGTGTTTGATGGTAAACTGGTCTTTAAAGATTTTTACACACGCTGCTAATTTGCAGGAATGAAGACCACGATGACAGGAATCGTAAGGCCTCCTATGACATCAAGGAAGGGACCTCAGACTGTGAAGAATGGTCAGTTACTGTCACTGCACAAACAAAACAAACACATCATTTCATTCACTGCTGTGAATCCATGAATTACAAAGTCCTTCACTCCCATTTTTGTCTCTCCATAATCTCTGCAGCCCCAAGCCTACGTTGGAGGAGGTGCACTCGTGGGCGCAGTCGTTTGATAAGCTGATGTGCTGCCCAGCAGGGAGGAACTCCTTCAGACAGTTTCTACGCACAGAGTTCAGCGAGGAGAACATGCTCTTCTGGTTAGCCTGCGAGGAACTCAGCCAAGAGACCAACAAGAGTGTGGTGGAGGAAAAGGCACGGGTCGTATATGAGGACTACATCTCCATCCTGTCACCAAAGGAGGTCCAACATCTTTGTTCTGTTTTCTATATCGTAGATGTGTCAGGCATAAAACGGGTGAAATCTGATTTTCTCTGATGTCAAACAATTCTTCGAAAATTCAAATTTCTTATATCAATTCCCAGGTGAGCCTCGACTCCCGTGTGCGCGAGGCGATCAACAGGAACATGCTGGAACCCACGACCCACACCTTTGACGACGCCCAGCTGCAGATCTACACACTAATGCAAAGAGACTCGTATCCTCGCTACATGAACTCCTCGGCCTACAAAAACCTGCTCAACACGCTGTCGGAGCAGTCCCCTGAATCTTAGGGTGGTGATGACCTGTGATCTTTTTAACTCTCTATCCCACCCATTTCTTACCCCTCCACTCCCCCTTTTAACATTTCTGTTGTATGTGCAGTGTAGGATGACATGAACCGGGCCTCGGGCCAGGCCCCTCCCAGGGATCTCAGTTTTGTTGTGATCTGCACCTGACCGACGACACTCAGGTCTCAAAAACAAATCTCCTGAGGGCTTGAAATCACAAGTACTGCTACGGATCAACATAGCAAAACACTCCAAAGGAATATGATACGTTTAGCTTCTGATTTGTTTGTTTTTCTTCTTTCTTTTGATAGAAATAATATATTTTATTGTGTTCAGATTTTTTTTTTATGGTCCATTGTCTTTGTATGATTATTTGTTGGAGGGAAATATAATTCCTTCTGTAGACTATATATACACCAGTATGTAAATAATACAAATGGAATTGTGGGTATTTTATGTGGAAACGCCTGGTTCTATCAACTGCGTATGAAAATCAAAGCTCAAGTCAAAGGCTACGTGTTAGCCCTACTTGCAGGCAGCTTTGTGGGGTACTGTACCAGTCTCTGTTTTATTTAGTTCCTAACCTCACACCACCGTACGCACGCCGTTGACCTGGCAACTCCTGTCTCTGCCGAACACGAGTTTGATTGGTTTTACTACAGATGTGGTCAAAGTCACAAAGAGACCACAGCTCTGGTCACAGTGTGTGTGTGTGTGGTTTTGTTTGTTTGTTTGTTTTCTTCAGAATCTCATGTTAATAGTTTAGAAAAGGGTCCAAATCTAAGACGACTGCCTGTTTCAGAAACTATGTACCACATTTTTATTCAACTCACTGCCCAGCTCAAAGGATTAACATCATTGTGACATAAGAAGTATAACTATTTAACAGATGAAGTATTTTATTTATTGATATTTATTGCCAATGAAGAAGAAACGAGTGTAGAGAAGATATAAGAGCTGTGGGAGAGAGGAATGAAGATGACAATGATTTACACATCTGTAAGTCACTGATCACTGGGAAGTAATATGTGATTATAATATAATAATGTGTGAATATGTGACTGGTTATGAACATGGGGGGGGGGGCCGCACTGTGGAGGAGTGGTTGCTGCACTTGCCTTACAGCAACAGCATTACCAGTTTGGCTAAAGACAATGGATTTTTGGTGTGAAGTTTGTTTGTTCACCCCGTTTGTTTGTAGGTGATTTGGTGGAAGCATGCACAGAGGAGAAGAGATTGAGGACGCATTTTAAATGATGCTTTGGTTTGGTTTGGGTCATGATTGGTTTCATGATTGAAAACATAACAAATGATTTGTTTGGAAATGAAAATACGCTGATTTAAACATTTCATTTCATCCACCACCTAATATTCTTTGTGTTCAGAAGCAAATTCATCATTAGTTGTTGGATAAACAGACGGAGGGAAGAACAGGGACCAAGGACCATTTACAGACATGCTCACACCTGTGAACAGAACATGAATTAGATCCCAATACCAGAATCCTCCGGGACACTCAGACTTGTACTTTCCCATTCTTTCCATGATGATCTGAACTGCCAGGCTAACAGAACCTGGTCTAGCGTATAATCACAGACTGGAGCCTAAAACTGTGTTATTTTTTAAATAGTTAAAGGGAATTCATTTAATTTTCTTTATTAAAGGTTATAGTTTTTGAGTTTAACTTTAATAATGTGTACATTCGCTGAAGGACTGACTTGGCAATGCACTAATAACTAGTGGAAATATCACATTTCAACTGTCTTTAATCGGTGTAGTTTATCAAACGTGCTCTTTACAGAAAATGTGAACGAGCAGACTGTAGGGTTATCACTGTAAACTGTGTGAGAGTGACACTGACTGATTGCGGGTTGTATTCCCACAGAGTTGACTCCAAAATGGCCTGATTGTTGGAGAGGAACACCGGGGTGAGGCCGGGTTAGCAGCAACACCAAAGCTATCATGTAAACTGTGTTCACGTGTTTATCGCCAGCTTTTCTTTGGAGTAGAACTGGAGATGCCAAGTGTTCAACACCTTTATGTATTCTGATACATACAGTTGTACTGCGATGCCTCACGAACATGTCACTCAAAGACAAGATCCTCACACGGGGAAGTGCCTTGACATTCAGTTGTACAACATCTTTCTCACGGGCGATGGTTGTTTTCAGACGCTCGCTGTAATAGGAAGGCTACTGGAACATGACGCCGAGACCAGATCGTCCCTCTCATTGGCCAAAATAGTGCATGTTTGTTGTCTCGACTCTGGAGTCACCACTAGATCAGTCCGTTGTGGTAGTCAAGGGGTTGATGAGAATATTTCTTTGATTTTAGAGGACAGGAATCAGTGGATAGAGCTGGTTGATCTGAACATTTCTGCCAGTGTGGTGGCATCACGGTGTGATCAGGACTTGTCTTGGAGTTAGTTTGAGTTTACTACAGTATGTGCAATTTGGGTTGGGATTTGGCTACGATGAGCAGATCAACCTCAGAAATACTGTCTAAGCCAATGGTTTGGAGCAATGCCTATAAATATTGTTTTTCTTTTTTCTCTTTTCTTCTGTTTACTATATAAAAAATGTGTTATTTTGCGCGGGTTTACTCAAGAATACGTTTGAAAAACAAATGTGAATGTTTACAGTATATGGTTTTGTTTTGGGGTTTTTTTTTCTGCTATTCTCTTGTTTACAGTATATGGTTTTGTTTTGGGTTTTTTTTTCTGCTATTCTCCAAGAAAATAATGACTTGTTGGCATTTTGATTAAGATAAAATAAAGCACAATAATTTTATTCACTCTGGAATCATTTCTTGAAGTGGTACAGAATGAGAGCCACGGTCAGATAAGTTTGGAGGTTATGGTTAATAAAGTAAATGCTAATCAATCAGTTACAGAGCTCCTTCAGAATTCTCACAGCCTCTGGGAAGAAGCTGTTCCTCAGTCTGGTGCTCCTGCTCTTAAACCTCCGCAGCCCCCTGCCTGAGGGGAGAGGGACAGGCAGGGTGTGTGAGTGGTGGCTGGGACACAGGACACAGGCTGGGACACAGGACACAGGACACTCTCCACCATGAAATGAGCTCCCAAGTCTGACACACCTAAACCTCCTGAGGACGCCTTGGTAGATAACGCTCTTTGTGCCTCATCCACATGACACGTTATAGTTTGTATTGATTGACTATAGTATATGCACTGACTTCTCTACAAATGCAGCCTGTATATTTCATTGGTCTCCTCACAGCATATGTGGAATTAAGTCAGTGCAACAGAGAGCAGCTCGTGGCCATAGAGTGGCTGCACCTGACGACTGAACAAAAAAACAAGAAGAAACAATTACACCCCTCCACTGGTTCAGCTAATGACATTTCCTCAGCCGTGGTCAGATTATTATGCAGTGGTTAGACAGCACTTTGATGTGATAAATATTCCACCGACAAATGTAACCGCTTTTTTTCCCTCCCCTCTCTCACACAAAAGGGTTAGGGCTGTGTTCTTTGTAGCAAAGATCCCAGCCTTTTTGATTCACAGACGTGTAGGACAATACAGTAACTGGTCGTCTAGGTGAGGCCAAAACAAACTGAACCGACAAAATGATGAGACTGGTTAAAAAAAAAAAAAGAATTTTAGGCAGATTTGATCAAAGTCAAGGTCTGTGGGCCAGATTCAGTCCATCAGGTAATTTTATACGGGCCCTTGAAAGCCTACTTGTGTGGTAGAGTAGTTGTTTCGTTATGTTACGTGAAGACATGGATGCAGTTGAATTCTTAAATACATTATTAATAAAACAGTTTATCAATAGCATTCATGTTTTAATGTCACTGGTTAAATGACACAGTGTTCAAGCAAAAATGTGATTTAAATATTAATTTATTGAAAACCATTTCAGTTATGCTCCACCGCTCTGTGGCACTGACATCCTTCACAGCGTGCGGTCCGTAGCATCGTCAAGTATAACCATAATTTACAGAACCTTCGGAAACGTGGTTCAGCCTCATTGGTCCGACCTCGGTCACCACATAAGCCACGACCCCCAACAAGGTCAAATGAATCTGTCACACTCACCAATTCTGAGAGTGAAGACAGGACACAGCTGATGAAAAGCAAAACTATTTAATCAAATGGATTACACTTTATTTGTAAAATTAAATAAAACAATGCAATGTTGAGAAGGCAGGTGAATACGACATCGCCCCCAAGTGTTAAAACTACATATAAAAAATGCAGATAAAAGAGAATGAGACATTATTGATCGGATATTTATATATATATAGATGTATATCTGATGATGACGACAAACAACTAATAAAAACAGTACAAGATTTTCAGGGGAGGAGGGCACGGTGAAAATGACGACGAGCTCCAACTACAGACAGGGGATTTATTCAAACGGTAATCGCAGTGGCATCTCCGAACGGCACCACATGTGCCACGTATCACAGAATGCAAAGTTCCAATCTGTTGCAGATAAAACAGAACTTGATCCGGGGAATTTTTGCTACTTGTCCAGTTGATGCTATTCGACTCAGCAGAACTACGAAAAACACACACACACACACACAGACACACAAAAGAAAAAGGTAAATAAATACATTACACACATACAGTAGACTTTATTTTGCTTCAGTAACAGAACGTATGTGTATTTCATGTTATCAGCTCAGTATGCAGCCTTGATTAAAAAGTCAATGGCTTTACAGGAAACAGTGTAGACCACAACATATTCCAACTTACCTTCCATCTATTTCCGCACGTGTTGCAGAAGACAAACGTAGTCATAGGTTCATCAGCACTGCGGGTTTGAACCTGGAAACAGCCAAAACATTAAAAAAAATATATATACATATATATATTTTAATTAATTAAACATATGATAACATGCAGGATTTGTGTGTGCTTATGCCACATGCAGGTCAGAGAAAAGACGACCGTGGGATGGATGTGGTTCCTGCAACAACACCACGGATTTGACACGTTCACATGAAAAGGTTCTCGGCTGGTGGCTCTCACCTGTGTGTAAGTGCAGCACTTTCCTTTGCACTTCCCACAAGTGAAAAGGTCGGTGACAGTGCCTCCAGTGGTAGCAAGTTGGTGGTCCCTGACAGCCTCTTTGGTCAGATTCTTCCTCATTTCCTTGAGCTCATCACTTGCCATTTCCTACAGATGACAAACAAAAAATCAAGAGAACTTAAGAACAATGTGTATTTGTTGTGTAAGTGATGATAGTTTCTACTACAAAATTAAGAAGTTGTATTACATCAGCCATCAAGAAGGAATAGAGGATTTCTAAATGTTGGACAGATCTGACAGACCTCTGCAGTCATTTTGGCCATCCGCTCGGGGGTTACACTCCCGCATAACACATTTCGTCGTAGATTGGGATTTTTCACATCCTTCAGATTAGCCAGCCTGCTCCGAACACGGTTCTTGTACTTCATGTCTGTGTTTTTAAACTCTTGGAAGATGCGTAATTATAGGTCAAGAAAAATCACAGAATATTTGTGGATGTAAAAAAGTCTGTGATCCTGCAGCAGTATCTGACATTTTTAGATGCATTATTTTAATGAAAGGATATTTTCCTCAATCTGAGCTCCGATTTCATCACAATCAGCACCGATAGCAATGTGATCGTCTGTCAGAGAAAAGGAAACAGAGCATGTGAATTAAATGAGCACAAGGAGGTTGTAAGTTTTCAGGCACAAAACAAATGGGAAACTTTGAGAATGGTGGGATTACCTCCGGTCTGCAGAGCAGTGGTCAGCATCTCTCGGCACTTGAGCCTAATGGAATCAGAGGTGCTGGGGGCACGGGGAAAGGTGTTCACTAATGGGTTTGGTGTGACATCTGCAGGTTCACTCTTGCTGCTAGAGTTACTGCATGAGCTGCTGTGGAAGCAATAACAAAAGCGTAATTAAAATCCCCCAAAAAACAATCAGAATTCTAATAAAATACCAAATATTAAAAGAGCAAACACAGCGGCTCCAGTTAAAACAATGAACCATTAATGTCAGCAGGTGTTAGCGCTGTTTCTGTTACCTTTCTTCTTTAGGCTCCGGGCTTCCCTGTGAGGGAGAAACGGGTGCCGTTTGTTCTTTTCTCTTCTCCTCTGAAGATTTATCTCCACCTCCGGGTTCTGCATCTGGAATTCATGTGGTAAAAATCAAGCAAGTGAGGAAACAAAAGCAACAAACACAAAAGTGAGAGTCATTGAAGCGGAGGCCAGTGATAGAGAGAGTAAAATCAATCCTTCTGGATGGTTGATAGATGAATAGCTGAGAGAAGAGAATGAGAAATAAACTGCCACCCTCACAGTTCACCTGCTGTAGTTCTCCATAACAGTACACAGCATCTTCCTGGGTTAGTCTTGCCCATGTCTGTTAAGATTAACTTACACTGCTCTGTCTTTTTTTAAAAGCACAAAATCATTTTAGTCCTTGTTTATAGAAAGTATCCAGAGAGTTACTGGGAAGTAATAGGGGAGAATAGCACTTGTAGTACTAACGCATACTACCGAGTTTCATACACATCTATTTCTTTACAGAACAGATTAGCCATTATCAGAACGTCACACAGAGAGACTTATGCCTTTAAGTAAAAAAACACATATACAACGAATTACCCAAAAGCTTCTTCCATGACTTGATCAAGGACTTGGCTAAAGATGTCACCTCGTCGTCAGTGCTCTGCTTGCGAATGGCGTTAACAGACATCCCAATTCTGGTAGACTGCAAAAAGACGTGGTGTTGGGAACACAGATGGCAAATGTGTTCTTTTTTTTTAGCCTTAAAGACTTAGTGCAAAAATACCTGCAGGAGCTCCAACGTCATGGGGATACTGCGCAGCTCTTTTAAAAGGTCCAAGGCACCAGCCTGCAAAAGAAAAGAACACAGTGTTATGTTTAGACTGTGGAAGACATTTTTGAAAGATCTGTGTGTCAGCCGGCTACAGCATTGTGATTGTAGTGTTATCAAATACTAACAGTATAAAATAACAACTTGGGTTTGATTTTTTTTTCTCCTTCATGAATGAAATGTTTTGATAAATTACAACATTTATATCTATAACTGAAAGAAAACATGTCCTAAGTCATAAAAAAATAAAATTTCAATGTACATGATAACTGGAGAGTGTGAATAGTATATTCTTGTGAGACATTTTTCAAATATTTGTCAAATGATTTAACAACAACATAATCTAAACATGTACCCTAAGGGCATGCAAACTTTTACTGGAACACTTTTACTGTGCTCTGACTTCAACGCGTGAAAAAATAAACAAACCAACAGCTGACGGGACGATAACAGATGGTCAGTCTGTAACTGCAGTTCTAACGCCGGGATTTCAATTGTTGTTGTTTTTTTTCTTTCTTGTTCTTGGGTACAGACAGACCCAAAACTGTTGGGGTCTGTCTGGCGTGCTTCAACCTGACCGCAATCGAGAAACAGTGCAACTGGGAGCAAAACGACATTTTGTTTACAATTCAAATGAGACAATAAGCTGTGCGGTCTACTGTTGTTTTGAAGAGTAGCATCTTACAATGCTAGCAAGGACAGAGCCGACTGCTAAACAGCTAACTGCTAGCAATAGTGATATAAACAGACTGTGCAGGTTTCGGCTGGTGTAAATTAACGTAATCTTTTTTGAATTCGCTGGTTAAAAAACACGAAGAAAAAAGTACAGTGTTGAGAAAACCCACGTGTTTCGAAAGATCAATTTTAATAGATTTCGGCAGCAAACCGTCCTCACTGTCGCCAGTGTTAGCGTCAACGCTGCTAACGGGTAAACATTCATTCTTTCAAGCGTCTTACCCCGTTTTTCTTCTGCGCCATTTTATCAATCTTCCTCGCGATTCGGATTATCTCTTCTTCCTCCTTTTTGCCCATCTTGTATGTTCGGATAAAATTCAATTAAATCGGGGAAATTAAAATAATTGGGTCGGCGAAAACGACCACACCAATGAGGAAAACAGAGGAGACGATTATGTTGGCGTGTGTGCGCCACACTGAGCTGCCCTGCTGCCGCTGTGTAGCAGGCCTGGATAGTCGATCCAAGATCCCTTCGTCAGCCTACGTAATCGAAACAGAAAAAAAGATCTGCTTGGAAAATCAGCTTGTCAAGGCCTTTAATGTAGTTGACAACATGGTGCTCCAGCCAAAATGAATAAATAAATAAATTCGTCTATTTATTAACAGCTACACAACCAATATTGTTATACAATATAGCTATTCTGTATACACGAAGAAAATAAATCAATTCATGCCTCTTTGGAAATAAAATCAAATAAATGAAATAAAATAAGTCACAAGTACCGGCTTATTTTGTCACTAATTTGCAGGTAAATTTTTTTTTATTTTTTATTCTTTGTCATTAACAGTCGTTAAGCACTTCTGTTATGTTCAAGCTTTGTACCCACCCCTGGCTTTTGACGAAGGCGTTATGTTCAAGCTTTGTACCCACCCCTTGCTTTTGACGGCTGTGACCTTTGAGTAACTGGGTGGAGGCCATGATTATGGGCCACAGCTGATCCTGGGATGCATTTATGAATTTATGAATCTCTGACAAAATCACTAATTTGGGTCTTTGAAGCTGGGCAGGTCATCATGTAACATTATTAACTAACAGTTGCAAAATGATGCACTGCAGCCCAAGAGATTGAACATCACATCTTTAGCCACTTGATGGCGATATTTGTCTGTATTAAAAGACAGAGGCAAAAACACAGGGTTGAATTTGGCTTATGTTATATCATAAGTCACTCTGAACATTAGGGGCTTTTATTTAAATTGGAGATAATTTGTATTCTGTATTTATGTGGCCTCAATTTTGAGATTAAATTATCACTAGTACTCTAAGTTTTAGACCTTGTCTTTATTAAGAGGTAACGTTGAAAGTAAGAGGCATGATCAGCTTCCCCCAGTCAGGGGCAGATGGTTTTTGAAAGACAACTGGTGAGTGCTGTCTCCCTTCTTACATTATTGTTATGTCATATGTTGTGCACAGCCACTGTGTCTTTAGTCTGCTGCTCTGCTCTTAAGATATTCAATACAAAAGAACAGTGAATCTGACACTGATGTAACGTTGTGTTTCCAAGAACAGAACTCACCAGTATAAATGTCACTGTACTTTCAAGTACACCTGCCGTTTGGTGGAGACCTTTTTCTGCCACATGCTGTCAGCAACTGCGCAACATCTTTCACCTAATCCCTATTAGGCCAAGATGTCTCAAATCAGATTATGTGGGCTACTTGCAATTGGAACAAGTCCAAGCCATCTGTCCTATTTAGTTCATATATAAATATATCTTCATAAACTTTCACTTATTATTTCTATTTCCGTTAATTCAATTGAATTGATTTACACTTTTAATTTATGTACTCACTCGGGGTTTTTTTAGGCAACATGAGCTGACCTAAAAATGTAAATTTTTATTTATTTCTAGTGTTATTGTCTATGATGTCAATATACAATTATGGAAATAAAAATAAATCTGTTTAAAAATTAAAATAATAATATGCCACCACTATGAAAAAAACCCACTAGTAACATTTATGATATATATTAACTTTACAATCAGTTGCTGTTCAAATAATCAAAATAGTCTTTGCTTTATTTGTTATACTAACCTGTTGATAGCTGTTGTCGTAATATGATTTCATATGAATTGCTGGTTAAGTCTGAGCAAAGATTAGGCAAATAGGCCATGATGGCAACAGGGCCATAAATATCCCTCCACTGCTGCTGAGAGGCTTTGCCCGGCGCTCCGAGGAACAACAGATCCACACTTTCTGTTGCCGTAGCCTTTGGAATCAAAATGGAAAGTATTTAAAAGTGGTAAGTGTTTTTTTTCTTTTTTATTAATCACAAGCTTTTCTGCCTGTTAATTATTTTTACTCTGACTACAGGCTGTACTTTGTGCAGCTAGCTCATATGTTTTTGGTGTGCACATCTTGTGATTAGACTTGTGCTTTGCACTCAGAGTCCAACATTTTCTTTTTAATGAAGCAGGGTCTTTATTTTATGTGTATTGTCTGTCTAAAAATCTCCTGTCTATCTTGAATTGATTAAATTAACAAAATAACAACATACAAATGTACGACTAATTCTAAATGATAAAACTAAGAATAAAAGACTGCCTTTATATATTTCTGGAAGATGTAAAATGCCAGTTTTTCAAAACCAACATACTATTACATTCTGTTTATAATGACGAGTAATAATTTACTGTTCACAGCCAGCAGGA